CCCTGCCCGGGGACGTGTTCGCCCGCTCGGATCAGTACCGGCAGGTCGCGAGCCCCAGGACTGACCCCTACGCGGCGGCCCAGCTGCACAACCAGTACGGCCCCATGAATATGAATATGGGCATGAACATGGCAGCCCACCACCACCACCACCACCCCGGTGCCTTTTTCCGCTACATGCGGCAGCAGTGCATCAAGCAAGAGCTCATCTGCAAGTGGATCGCTCCCCAGCACAGCCCCATGAATATGAATATGGGCATGAACATGGCAGCCCACCACCACCACCACCACCCCGGTGCCTTTTTCCGCTACATGCGGCAGCAGTGCATCAAGCAAGAGCTCATCTGCAAGTGGATCGATCCCGAGCAGCTCGCCAGCCCCAAAAAAAGTTGCAATAAAACTTTCAGCACCATGCACGAGCTGGTCACCCACGTCTCGGTGGAGCACGTCGGGGGGCCCGAGCAGAGCAACCATGTCTGCTACTGGGAGGAGTGTCCCCGCGAAGGGAAGCCCTTCAAGGCGAAATACAAACTGGTCAACCACATCCGTGTGCACACGGGCGAGAAGCCCTTCCCCTGCCCCTTCCCTGGCTGCGGGAAAGTTTTCGCCAGATCGGAAAACCTCAAAATCCACAAAAGGACGCACACAGGTAATTCGGGCTTCTTTCGTGAGGCTTGCACTGTATTTATATCTTTATCTCGATATGTGCATACGCGGGGCTGTATGTGTGCAGAAAGGGAGATACAAAATTGCACAAGGCGTAGCAGGAGGATCGCCCTTAAAATCGCTGCCCAGCGCGAAGCCTCCCGCTTGCATCGCAGGGCCGGGGCTGTTTGGGTTTCTCTCTACCTCTCCAGGCCTCCGGTTTCGAAAGGACGTTCTTATTTTACTCTTTTTTTTTTAATCATTATAAGATGCGGAATAAGCAGCGCAGAAGCACTCTGAGGCTCCGCTGGAGTCTTTCCATAGCGATACAAAATTGTTATTATTATTATTATTATTAGTTTAAGCTGAATAAATTCCGCGTTGCAACACGCCGAGGCACAGAGATCCCTCGAGTGCACTATACACATGCAATGCACGGCGTATTTACATCTAACTTCAACGCCTGTGTGCACGGGTTTCATATCTGCAAGAGTGAGAAAGAGAGAGAAATTAGATAGATACACATAAAATCCTGTATTCGTCCAAGATCTCGGAGGAAGTGGTAAAATGGTCCTTTCTGGGAATGCTTTCCATTAAATTTAAATGGTGTGAGCAAGGCAATAAAATTATCTCATTTAAAAATAAGGAAAGAAAAAGTGTTTTTAAAGTCTCACTTGAGGTGACTTAAGGTGGTTTTGCAATAGTTTATTAAATTATGTAATAGGCAACAGAGGATTTGAGGTTGGGAAACTGACACCAAAAACAAAACAAAAACAAACAAATAAAACCAACAAACAAAAAACAAAAACAGGTGAAATGTGGGGAAAGGACCTAGCGCTCCTGCTGCAAAATCGCGTGAGTCGAGCAGTAACAAAATCAACGCATCCTCCCGCTCCATATATTATTCATTTACTGCTCCTCCTCGCAGCTCCGATGGTGCCAGGTCCTTTCGTAGGAGAGAGTCAAATATTTTAGGGACGTTGCCCGTCAATCTTTACCCGTCTCGGGGGGCAGATCTCGTTGTCCCCTCGGCGCGGAGGTGCGAGACGCGCTTGAGCGGGGCTGGCAAACGGGAGCAACGTTATTGCGCGGGCCGCCCTGTGCCCGGGCCCGTGTCCCCATCTCCTGGGGACACCGCTTAGTTGCTAATGGCGCTGAGCGGGGGACGCGCCGTTCTCACCTCGCAGCCGCAGGGAAACCCGGCGAAAAATTTTTCCAGGCGGGGAATTTTCCCAGCGGATGTGTGTTTATCTCGAATATCCATAGTGGAAACAAGCTGCCGGGCCTTAAAGCTGTTGTTAATGGCTTACAGTTTAACAGGATATTGGCGCTGGGGCCGAGGCAAAACATCTCGCCCCCCCACCCCACCCCCAGGGGAATTTTCCCAGCGGATGTGTGTTTATCTCGAATATCCATAGTGGAAACAAGCTGCCGGGCCTTAAAGCTGTTGTTAATGGCTTACAGTTTAACAGGATATTGGCGCTGGGGCCGAGGCAAAACATCTCGCCCCCCCACCCCACCCCCATTTTATTTTCCCCTCCT